AAAAACAGGACTACAGAAAGAGACCCCACTATATAGTGAGTTCATTAATTGACCTTGCATTCAAATCCAGTTTATGCATCCAATACTTTAGAGAGTTCTGGGCAATGTGCTAGACTTGCTTAATGTTAGTTAATGCTTACTTGACTTCTTTGTTTTACATTATTAAAATCAAATAAACGGATCAAGTGATCTTTCACCTGCCTTCATTAATTTCGAAAAATCTAAAATTTTCTAAACCCAAATTTGAGCTGAAGTTGAAAAATTTCTCTGTGTGGATCATAAAACACGTAGTTAATAATTGTTGCAAATTTGGAGACGTTCCAGTGACTTTCAAAAGAGAAATCATGAAAAAACCGTTTGTTCATAAATTTCTGGCCACTACTGTATAACCGGAACTTACATAAAGCGTGCTCTACGAAGTTATCGGACAAACGAAACCAATACTACTGGGAAGAAAACTCTCACGAATGAATCGCTCAACGTTCAATGTAAGCGGTCGTGGTAGCAGCTAGTTTGGATCATGAGGGAGGAACTCGTATATAAACTCCTGAATAATGAAGTCAGTCATAAAACATTTGCTAACGACCGATAAATTATTTTCCAGTGCATGGGTAACCAGATCACGACGGTAACAGCTGTCAAAACTTCAATTTTACCGATTTGCAATCATACCTCAGGATCCGTCATGAAGTAATGATCATCATATTCATAACGCAGATTACCATCGCTACGGTTCTCACTTTCGCTTTCCTTCGCATTTCTGAAATCATTCATTCTTAGCCCTCGCAAATGACTACGACGAGGTAATTGTGTTATAGAATTAAGTGAAGGTGAAGTGCATGAAGGGTTTCTTATGCGGCGATCAGACAGCGGTCTGATCTGACCATCACCCAACGAGCCCTTCATCCAAACGGTATCGAATGGTGATGCTTCATGCTCGCAGCCATTCTTTTTTCCTAGTACCATATTATACAGGGTGGGCCAAAATTATGAGGACCAAGACATTGTGTCGTTAAAAACGCATAGTAGCTTGATGGAACAAACAACTTCAGGGAAGTGTTTGTAACTCTTATCTCAAAGTAATTCCAGAATAGAATTGAGATCTGCCACCTGCCCCGTTACACGAGCCTTCAGATGAAGGGGATGGCGCGTGCGGTGGCACGCAACTGAATGTTTCCAGGCCTTCTGCTCTGCTTTCTTCAGGGGATCAAAGTTTTGTGGGGCATTTATTTGCGCTTGCCTCCAGGGTGTAAAATACAGAAATCTAGAGCTATTAGGTGGAAGGTTCCATTGTAACAATTCTTCGAAAGCAACGAACTCGAAAAATCGCTTTTAGAGAATTTTTGCTTTATTCTTGGGTGCTCGGTCCTGTAAAAGTCCCAAGTAGACTACTCGTGTGGCTTTCTATCCACTACAGATGTGGAGTCTTTAGAGTGTCTGGCTGGGTTTTCACATCAATTTTTTCATTTTGGGAGTACGAAAGTCGACAAGGGGAGACCTAGTTTCTGCATCTGATAATTATCCTGGTGGTAACTGTAACTTTCGAGTCTCCGAATTTTCCATCTGTGGTGGTTCCAAACTTATTGAAGAGTTGAACTGTTGCCATAAGAGCTTCCCTGATACGTTAGACTGCCGCTAGATGTAACGTGCCAGAGGTCTTAGTAAGTTCAATTAAAGGACTGACGTAAGATGATATACAGGGGTGGCCAAAAAAAGAGACACTTCACTCCACATTTCAGACAGCATTAATCACACTTTGCTAAAATCAAATCGACTGCCCCAACTCAGTATTAAAGAGCACATTCTAATCTATCTAAAAGTTACATGACAGCCTTCTACACCGACGACATCAGAAGATTTTCCCACGGAAACATGGTTCACGGTACGAGCTCAACGAGGTCGTCGAGGTACCATAGACCATTACGACGTCCCTGAAACGCTGGTCAAAAGCGGTCTTGCACAGTCACAGCTAGTGTCTCTGAGAAGCTATTCACCAGTTAATCATTGAAGAAATTATGTAGCAGCTTCAGGCCGGAGCGATTACGGTAAGCCTCGTTGAGCTCGGCAGATGACGTCATATTCTGAAGACGGCGGGGGCAGTGAAGGAGGGCCTGCTTCTGTTTACGGGGGAACACCTAAGGAATATTCCGCCGTAAAACTTTCATTATCGGCTCCCTGTGCGACGAAAAGTTCGATGATGTGCGCCATGGGCAAAGTGTCTCTTTTTTTGGCCACCCCTGTAGTTTTATCTCACTAGTTTTGAGAACTGCATGTTATTTGGTTTCAATAGGAAGGAGGCATTCTACCCTCTCACATACATAGAAAAGAATATGAAAATGGAGCGACTCGGAAAAAGTGGATAATTACCCGTGCCTCGCACGGTCTCATAATTTTTGGTCCCCCGTTACAAGTATGGAAGGAAACGGAATGACATTCGTCTCCTCATCCAAAATGGAACTCATTTAGTTTGATTCCAACCGAATACTTCCAACAAAAAATTGCAACCCACGGGATGCGGCCAACGAGATCCTCAACGAATCGTGGACCATTACGACGTTTTCAGGTAGTCCAATCAGAGCCAAGATTTCAAGAAAACTATCCATAAGGGAATCGATTTAAAGCCCCGGATCGGGATCAGGAAAGCACTCCGCCCCAAAAGCGGTCCGACCACTAGTTTAGTTGGTGGTTTGGACGAGCAGCACATTGCTCCCCAGCAGCAGCACAACTGCAGCAACTCGATTGGAGTGTGGTGTGGGGCATGGTATTACCAAACTCGTTGCGCTGAACTAGTTCATATCCCCGCTTCCTGAGCTGTCGCCTGTTCATGAGGAAAACCAACGACCAAACGAGGTGGTTCAATTTTGCATTTTGTTGATGGATTTCTCCGTTTTTTCGCCACCGACGTACTATTGAGCACCAGCTTTCTCCTCTAAACCCTTCTTGAACCCAACGTAATCGCTGCCTTCAACAGAGCACGACAAGGGAGCTAAGGCCTTGATTATGTGTTGCTAGGGCTGCTATTCGCATAAATCGCGGCATACGTGGCGTCCGGGCACTCGGGTGGAATACAGCTGTGCTCTTCCATGCTTTCTCCTATCTTCCTTGGCCGTGTTGCCTCGAGCTATGTCACAAGCCGGGCTATACAAAGAAAAAATTTACAGTGTTTTCTATTGAGTGGCTTTTTGCCTTCTGCCCCCCTCGATTCATCATAGCTTTTCGTGTCTAATTTTCTAACATAGTTACGCACACTCGATTCCAAACCGTGCCCTTAAGGGATTATTCAGCAGCTTCAGGCCTAGCAATTGCGGTAGTCCTCCTAGAGGCTCGACGGCGATGGCAGAAGATGTCATATGCAGATTCTGAAGACGATGAGAGCAGTGAAGAAGTGCTAGAGTCCACTGATGGAACGGACTTGAGAAATAGTTTGCTGTGAGACTCCGTCATTGGCGGCAATCGTTGCGACGAAAAAACGAAGATGGGATGTCAAGAATGTCTTTGTTCTGTTCCCCCTCCCCCTAGAAATTCGCAAACAAGCTTTTGGCGTTAGTCTTGCTAAGGCGTTGCTGAATGTTGGGGAGGGGATGGGGTCCCCAATTTTGGCGGACTACTCGAATTCGGTCGGTACGGTAGAAGAGTGATGACAGAGTGGTGCTGCCAGGTCCAGCAGCTCCGCGAAGAGCTGATTTGCTTACCCCAGGACTGCCTTAAAGAAAGGACGGACCTGTGGCTCTCTTGCAGGCCTCGCCTCTTTTTAAGGAATCGGTCATGAGGTTAAGTATAATGAGGATTTATTAGACAGAGTTGAATTAGTCGGATAACGTCAGGGGACCCCATACCTCCCCAACATTCAACCCACGGCCCATCAGAACGCAAAAAAGCTGGTTGCACTTCCTCCCTCGTCCCTGCACCAAAAGGTTTAAGGGTCTGTCGTGGCGCAAGGTGCGCGTGTTGCTGTAGACTATTCAGCCTGCCTGCCTGTAAGGCTGCCTGCTTGTTTGATCGGAAATTCATACCTTGGTCGCTTTGATCGCAGAGCACTCAATCTTAGTGTACGTATGTAAAGAAGTGGGATGAGGACAGAGATGGTGGATAACAGAAGAGTAATAAAAATTAAAAAGAGGCTGAAATAACAGGTGTAGGAGTGTGAAGTTCACCATTTTTGAGAGCAGACAGCCGGCCGCACATATGCGTCAAAGCTTGCATGTCACACACGACATTCTGACCGCATGCGCGTCGTCATCTCACCCTCTACTTTTCCGCGCCTGAGCTACCTCTTCCCGAGTTTTTTGTATTTATACTATGGGCAGAATCAACATAACTACATGCCCACAAAGTAGACAAATATCCTACTATTTAGCAAAAGAGTTTTTAGATCCCAAAAAATTTTGGTCCAAAATTCATCAGCATTTTTTTTACTGCCACAAATATACATAGTAAGACATTAGTAAAAGTAATTACAAAAGTGTATGGATGGTAAGGTATGTGTTTATTGGGAACTAAGTAGAAATACTATCCCATTCATTTGATTAATCAACACGTTGACGACATCGCGCGTTTTGCGTTTTGCACCGCGTGGGACAGGAGCGATTTTGCGAGCGTCGCCGCGCACCAAATCCATGGATTTTGAGCTGTAATTGCGCAATTTTTAGTTGTGATGAAACGTTTTCAGTAATGTTCGACCTGTCTAACTTATCGGGAGTCACATTAATGGAATTTCGACCGAAACGACATCTTGAGGCCATGGAAAGGCAAATTTCACATACTTTCCCTTCAGTGGTTCCAAAATTAACTTGAACGTGGTTGTTTCAGTAAACATTCTTATTTTGCCATACAAATACGATTGTATTTACTTCCATTATTTCTTTTTATCTACATGTTCACGTTAATGAAAAGAAAACGAGGAATGAACTGAACAGACATATCCGTAAGGTCTGGAAAACCTCTGCCAAACTAAAGAATATTTGGCCTTTCTGTGAGCCATGTGGTTTTTAAGTATGCTAATGTATGACCTATAGAATGAGTACAAAGACCTTAGGAATAAGTCGCGCAAGCGCAAGAAAAAGGGATGACTTGGGTGGGACGCGTTACCGCGTCACAATGTCCCACGAGGTGCGCAAAGTGGGACGCGTTACCGCGTCACGCTGTCGTCAACGTGTTAATTATACAAAATTCTACTTATATTTATACAGGTTACCAAAAAGCTCTGATCCTTGCTATAATTAGCCTCACATTCACATTTGTGCAAAATAAACGGATGTAAGGTGAGGCCGGCGCGCACGCAAAATCGCTCCTGTCCCACGCAGTCTAAAGAGCCAGAATTCACACTGTCGCCAATGTGTCAATGGTAGGCGATAAGAAAAGAAAGCAAGCGATAAGGGCGGAGAGCCATAGAGCACAGTTATCACCAAATGCCAGTTTTACCCTTTGCCTCCGGGACAAAAAAACTTTACCACTATGGAAAACCCAATGAACGGGTATACAAAACTTTGTTTTTGAAAGCAAATGGTTCAAAATCTCACACAAGGTGGCGTGCTCCCCAGTTGCATTGGACAAAACGCCATGAGCCGTCAAGATAAACCGCATTCCATGTGTTCCTGAATAATAACAGAATTGGTTGTTTGAAGATTTAAAGAGATGCACATTAAACCTTGCTCCCATTTCTCTTTATGATAAGTTCTGCAAACAACGTGATCGGAATCGGAAACAATTAAATCTTTGGGTTTTTTGAAGTGTTGCTCGATTAAAAGGATAATTATCGTAATACCTGAAACGATTATCCTCGAAAGAGTATCCGGGTTGATAGCCAGCAGATTTGGAGTATCCCTTGATCACAACACAATGAAGGCCAGCGTAGCTGTAAAAGCCATTATTACCGAAACACTTTCACATTCAACAGTCAATCTGGGGAGCTCGAGTAAAGAGTAAAAAGAAAACCATTGCGTTTGCCCAGTGATCTCACCGGATAGGCAGTGACGTGGGAAATGAACGCCCTAAAATGTTGCTGTATAAGTCACGGACAGCCGAGTAGTTGGGAATGCAAGCAATGGCGTTTTATGTGTACTAGCAGAGATAACAGTTGTAGTACACTAACGATGCTTACGGAAGGGGGTTGACTGGATGCG